TCTGCTCGGCCTCGTGGTCCGTCCCTGCTCCCACTCCTTTTGTCCTCTGCCCGTGGAGGTGCACTGCTGCTTTGTGTAACCCCACTGCATGCAGAAATCGTGTTATCGAGTCTGACCAGCAGTATCATTTTCATGCCTGTTTTACAAGTGTACCGTGCCAGATTTCTTGAGCTTTTTATTTGGGCCTGACCATAGCTTGTGATGTGTATAGACTCCCAAGTTGCTTGTGCTGAGTTTCTGGGGCATACTGGATTTATCCTCTGTTGTAAAGATGTGTGTTCTGCTGCTTTCCCATCTATTTCGGCGCAAGATTCGTTTGTTTCTTTTTCTGTGAAACATTGTGGTTTCATTGTTGGGTGTGTTTGATTTTGGAAGTGGCCCTGACATTTACAAATCAGATCTTGTGTGCCTGGGGGAGATGTATTGTAGGAAAGCAATGCTGAAACCAGGGTGAGCTCAAGAAGATTTGTAATTTCTGCTTCTGGTTGGATTTTGTAGAACTTTGACAAGTTAAATGTGAGGACAGCACACTACACACCTCTTCCTTCCGGTGCTAATCCTCTGAAGAGAGAGATTTCTGATTATGTTAGGTGAGTGCAATAAGGGCCATAGTAGTTTATTTTTCTTTCACAGTTAATACCTTCAAAACATTTTTTGTCTGGGTTTCCCTTGTACCTTTCTGCTTGACTCAGGGCCTTGCCAGTAATCAGAGAACATCTAATGTGAAGTTTGCTTTTTTTCTGGGGCTGTGGCTGGTCTGTGGATGAACATGCAAACGCCTGAGGAACTCTCTGGGGTCTTTGGAAAAGTCCTTTGGCCTACTAGGCTTTGAGACTGCTTGGAGCTTGGTGTCTTTTAAGTACAAAGCAGTCAGGGGAGAAGAGAACTCCTTGACCATGGAATATATCACCTGTTGTGCACGGAGCAGCTCAGTGTGTGCACTCTTGCTGTGTTTGCCCCAATGCTTAGCCCCTGCTCTCTGCCATCTTGCACTACAGGTCTGGCTTTATTAACCTTGACAAACCTTCCAATCCATCCTCTCATGAGGTGGTTGCGTGGATCCGGCGCATCCTCCGAGTGGAGAAGACCGGACACAGTGGCACTCTGGATCCTAAGGTGACTGGGTGCCTCATTGTGTGCATTGAGAGGGCAACACGCCTGGTCAAATCTCAGCAGAGCGCAGGTATGTTTGTTGCCCAGGCCATTTACAGTGACTGGGGACGTGTGAAGTGCTTTTGGAGACAAAGTGGAGATTCCCAGTACTGAAAGGGCTGATTTTGGCCTTCAGTGCCTTGAATTCAAGGGTTGCATGTCACTCTGAGCCACTGAGGACACATCCATGCTGTCACAAGTGATTTTTGGTTGCTCCTCTGGGGCTTGTACTGTTTTAAGTCAGCGAAAACACTTCTGACAAGGTTTTATGTGCTAATTGAACTTACAGCCTCAACCTCTTACCAGTCCAGTGAAATAAAAATTGGTGAAGAAATAAATGTAGCTTAGGTTTATCTCCCTGGAAGAATAACCGGCTCCAGAATAAACTGTGCATGCTTCCTAGGAGAGGTGGTTGTTAAGATTTCAGGGCCCTGGAGACACGTGGCTTTGAGGGAGTGTGGACCTGGAGGTCAACATTAAATGCAAGTGGCCGCTCCTGACTGCTCTTGTCATTCTTTCAGGCAAAGAGTATGTGGGAATTGTTCGGCTGCACAATGCAATTGAGAGTGAGGCTCAGCTGGCCAGGGTAAGTCTCCCATGCTCTCAGCCATGCTGACACCTGGCATGCAAAGTGTTGGGCACTGGTGGGAGATGAGGGGGCAGAAATGGAGCTCAGGTGTGCTGTGTGTGTGAGGTGATGACGCAGTTTATCCATTCTCTGAGTGCAGTGGTGCTGCCCTCCTGCAGCACCCCGGTTCCTGTTCTAGGGCCTGGGTGCTGCGCAGCCTCCAGACATCCTGCAGTCTCCCAGTGTCCTGCTGGGGGCTGGTGTGATGTGTGGCTGGCTGCCTGCAGGAGGGGAGCAGTGCTGGCAGGGCTGGAGCCCCTCTTTGGGGGGCTCCATCCTCACTGGGACGAGGGATGGTGTCTGATCACACACTGCCACCTGATGGGAAAAGCCTGGCTGTGCCTGGGGTGGCATCTTGAGCACATCACAGGTTTGGATTGGCTTTATTAAATATGACATCACCAAATTATGATGAACCTTGTGTTTTCTTACTCATGGGAATGGTCATGGTTGCTGGAGACTCCAAGGTACTCCTACCTTTGGGCACAGGTGTGAGCTATTGCTTCTCCTTCCTCCCTCAGGCAGTAGAAACTCTGACAGGCGCATTGTTTCAGCGACCACCCCTCATTGCTGCTGTCAAACGACAACTGAGAGTCAGAACCATCTATGAGAGCAAGCTGGTGGAGTATGATCCTGAGAAAAGATTAGGTAAAACAGGGCTTTCCTGCCTTCTTCCTCTTAAGCTGGTAGCTGATAAAATTTTCTGTGAAATGGGCTGCTTTGTATTCTTGGCAGATATCTTAAGACCTAAATTCTCCCCACTGTCAAGCAGTAAGTGCTTCATGCGTTGTTTTTGTGTGCTGAGAAGCAAATCCCATCTGTTTCTTGTACTGCTGCATCCTTCATGGAAGAGCCAAATGATGTCAATTAGATGGCACTAGCTCTCAGGGCAAAGATGACCTTCATCTATCACCCCATTCTGATGGCTCTGTGAAGGATTGGAAATACGGCTTCTCTTAAAGGATGTGGTTCATTTCTAGATGACAGCTTTAAATACTCCTCTGTCATCCATTCCAGGTATCTTCTGGGTGAGCTGTGAAGCAGGCACGTACATCAGGACTCTGTGTGTCCACCTGGGGTTACTGCTGGGTGTGGGGGGCCAGATGCAAGAGCTCCGCAGAGTCCGCTCGGGCGTCCTGGGAGAGAAGGTAGAGTGGCAGCTCTCACTGTGACCAGCCCCCTTGAAATGGTCAGAATTGCGAAGGATTTCTTGGAGCTGTGTGAGTTTTACAGTGTTAGGAGGAGGTTTAGGCACGTGGCTGCTGGGAGGAGTTTTGTGAAAAGCCCCTGAAAAGTGGGAGCTCTTTCCATAGGTGGTCTGTAACCAAAGTGTTGAGTTCAGTTCAGGATGTTGCTCCTGTTCTGGTAATTAAACTTTGGGACAGCGAGTGACTGGGAAGTGCACCGTGGTGACTGAAGGTTTGTTTTATGTCACCTGTGTTTCTCAGCCTACAAACCACACATTCCACAAGTTCAGGAGTGTGAGCTGTCAGCTTGGCATTGGCACAGCCCAGGGAATGTGTTCCATTGGAAGGAGCCTGGGAGATGGAGCCTCCTGTGATTTTGAACGCTTGTACAGTCTTTTCGGTCAGATCATAGATAGATCCTCCAGAACTAATTTCTCTCTTTGCAAAGCTGCAGTATCAAAATGGAAGTGCTTCCCCACCCCTCTGTGCTCTTAGCACAGCTGTAATCACTGGCAGTCATTTCTGAATTCCAAGTGTTGGGTGCTTACAGCTGCTTCCAAGATTTATTCCATGTCACAGTTGGAAGAGCTGATTAATTTGGACTGTCTAGAAGTCCCAGGAAGTTACGTTAGGTTGTATTTTAGAGTCTCCTGTGGACAGACCTTGTAGTCTGTCTAGATCCAAGTGCTGTCTAAGATTAGGAAGGTTGAAGTCTGGTAGCCCAAGTCAGGCTGCCCTCAAGCTCCAGATGGAAAGTACTCTTGCTTCTTTTAGAATGCATTTTAATGCTTGAGTTGGGCATCTGTTCACTCCCTTCAGCACGTTTGCTGTTGGACTTTAGCTGCTTTTTTGTGTATGTGTTGGTGTTTCAAGTTGGTGGCTGGTGAGAGAGTTTAGAGGGGTTGTGTCTTGGCAGGACAACATGGTGACCATGCACGACGTGCTGGATGCACAGTGGCAGTACGACAACAACAAGGATGAGAGCTACCTGAGGAGAGTCGTCCTGCCCCTGGAGAAGCTGCTGACTTCACACAAGAGGCTCGTCATGAAAGACAGTGCGGTGAGTTCCTGAGGCAGGGCCAGCTGACAGTGCACAGCGTCCTCTTGACTTGTACAGATTTAACATGGGGAACCAGGAGCCGTGTGACGTCCAGTGCTGTCCTGATTGTGACTTGTGTAGAACCCAGTGAGAGCCACTGCCAGATCAGCAGTGAGATGCAAGAGCCAAGAATTAAGTGACAGAATCTGCTCTCCTCACTTGGGGAGGACGCTGATGGTTATGAGAGATCTGCCTCACCCACTGTGATAGATGCTTTACTGGCTTCTTCCAAAGCTCCCAAGTTTTACGTAGTGGACAAAAATAAATAGTTAGGGATATTATTGCTGGGATGGTAATGGCAATGAGAAGCTAAAAATTAGAGGCACTCGTTGCCTTATTTTTACTCTTCTAAGAGCTTTAAGCCCTCCTGTTCTCTACATTTTCAGGTTAATGCCATTTGCTATGGAGCCAAGATCATGCTGCCTGGTGTTCTGAGATATGAAGATGGTATTGAGCTTAATCAGGAGATTGTTGTCATCACCACGAAAGGAGAAGCTATCTGCCTAGGTATGAAACTCCTCATTCTTCTTGTGCCCAGCTAACTGCAGAAATACCAGGCTGTGTGACAGTGAATGAGTCCCCGTGCAGAGGTTTGATTAGTGCTTCCTAATAGGGACTGTGGGCCCAAGGCACTTGGTGTTAAGACACGGTCAGTCCTGGGCAGGGTGTGAAGGGTTCATGAGCTGTGTGTGGTGCTCAGGTGTGCTGTGTGTGTGAGGTGATGACGCAGTTTATCCATTCTCTGAGTGCAGTGGTGCTGCCCTCCTGCAGCACCCCGGTTCCTGTTCTAGGGCCTGGGTGCTGCACAGCCTCCAGACATCCTGCAGTCTCCCAGTGTCCTGCTGGGGGCTGCTGTGATGTGTGGCTGGCTGCCTGCAGGAGGGGAGCAGTGCTGGCAGGGCTGGAGCCCCTCTTTGGGGGGCTCCATCCTCACTGGGACGAGGGATGGTGTCTGATCACACGCTGCCACCTGGCACATGACACTACCTGAGCAGATCAGGGCAAAGGGACTCCAGCAACTCTCACCTTTTGTGCAGTGACTTCAAAGGGTGCCCTTTAAAGGGCCTTCAGAGAAGCTGTGCAGGTGACAGGTGCTGACACGCAGTGATGGTGCTCAGTGCTGCATGGCCCCATGCTCTGTCCAGACCCATGGGATTGAAGAGCCTTGGGAGCTCTAACACAGCCAGGCCATTCAACCCTGCTCTTTGTACTGCCTGCACTCTGGTCATCTTGGGGTCCTGGGGAGAAAAACATAAATTATTGGTAGGATTAGTCTCCTCTAGCTTGGTTCTGCAAGACTTTGGGAGCTGACAAAGGACCAGCTCTGTTCCTTCCTGTGGTGGTGTGGTTCCTTGAGATGCCTGGGAGTGGTGTTGTTAATCCATGGCTGGCACACTTACTGCCTTTGAGCAGGGCAGCTTGTGGAAGTGTTAGTCCAGAACCTGCTTCCAGTGAGTCTTTGGGGTGAGACAGCCCTGGTGGGGGGTGTTGGTCCTCTTTGTGCTGATAGTCTTGCTATTAAAGAGTTAATGGCCTCCCTGCCTGCTTCTGCAGCCGTTGCCTTGATGACCACAGCAGTCATTTCTACCTGTGACCATGGCATAGTAGCAAAGATCAAGAGAGTGATCATGGAGAGAGACACATATCCCCGAAAATGGGGTCTGGGCCCCAAGGTGAGTGGTGTGGGGGTGCAGTCTGTCCCAGTTCAGTGGTGGGAGCCCAGCTGGTGGAATGTGGGACTCTGGGGTCCCCCTTGGGCAGAGCTGTGCCTGTGTCTTCTTCAGGGATTTCCTGTAATTCTGCAGCCTTCTGGAGCCATGGGGGTGGCACTTCCTGGTGCCAGGGAGTGATGGGAGCAAGGCTTGCCCTCCCAACAGAGCCTGGGCAGTTCTGCTCCAGGCCCACCTGGGGCCACTGCAGGTGTTAAGGAATGGGCTCCTTGGGTCTGTACAGCACCAGCCCTCCTCTGGTAAAGAGCCAAATGATGTGAAGTGGATGGCATTAGCACTCTGTGCAAAGATGACCCTCATCTATCACCCCATGCTGATGGCTCTGGAGGGGCTGGGCAAGGAGCTGCTTTTTTTCCTTTTGGTGCAACTGCAACACTGTTAAAATGCAAACTGTCTTGTGAGACACGAAATTGTGCCTGAAGAACAGGAAGGGTGGGAACGTCCATTGGCTCCTTATTTACTAATGAAGATGCCTCTGGTCTGAGATTTAGGCTGCTGTGCAGGGCATGTTTTGTGTGATTTATTAGAAGGTCCTTGGAAAAGCGTTAAGCACACTGTAAGTTGTTGACTTGGCTTGTTCCTGGATTACCTTCTCTTAGGCTGAGTGGCTGAAGCCCCAGGGAGGATCTTTCTTACCTGGAGCTGCAGTTTGACTTGTTGCACTTTGCTCTCAGGCCAGTCAGAAGAAGATGATGATCCAGAAGGGTCTGCTGGACAAGCATGGAAAGCCCAACGAGAACACACCAGATTCCTGGAAGAAGGAGTATGTGGATTACAGGTGGGTACAGGGTGTGTGGCTCCCTCGTGGTGTTCAGAGGGGAGCACTGTGCAGCAAGGGCAGGGTTGGGTGCTGCTGTTTGATCGTGGAACACGTTAGGCTTGGCCCAGGGCTGTTGGCTGTCCTGACCTGTGTGGTGCAGTTGCATTTCTTGCAGATGTTGTGTCGGAAGGAAAGTGCCCGAGCAGACAGTTATCCCTTTTTAGCCTGTCTTGTGGTTCTAGAGGGAGTCAGTCTGCTAAATTAATGGGAAAGGCCTTGCTGTTGCCCAGCCCAGCTGGCCCTGGTGCAGGCTGCAGGTCTTCCCCACACCAACTTCCTCACCCAGCTCCTGGGGGTGGGTTGTGGAGCCCTTGTGAGGGTTTGTACGTGTGCAGAGCAGCGTGAGGCAGCAACTGTCCTGTTCAGCCTGGGCATATTTCCTTGCAGGGATTCTTCCAAGAAAGAAGCAGCTGCTGATCACCGACCTGTGTCAGAGCTGGAGAGGGCTTCAAAAGTGAGTATCCTTAGTGCTCTCTGGCTGTAGCGTTTTTGGGCCCTGATGAAGAATAGATATGCACCACTTCCTTTAGGCAGCTTGTATTGGGTGATGGATTGTGTGCTGCTTGTTTCACAGGGTGTTCCATGTTGTGGGAGCCTAGACCCTCCACATGTGCAGTGGCCCACAAGCTGGCTGTAAGGTGACCTCCTGAAGGCCTTACCCTCCCTGGGTGTTTGTTTCTGGGATTCTGTGCTTTGAGTGCAGAGAACCTTCTTGGAGACTACAGACAGTTGCAGAAAGGTCCATGCAAGAGTTGCATCTAAAATTCCCTAAGTCAGGGCTTTTGCATGCCTCGGAAAAGGTGAAGCAGTGTTTTACATTAATATTTGGGATACAGGAAACCTTGAGAAGTACAGGGTGCAATACTGGCAGAAGCAAACCCTGGACAGCATATGCTGGAGGGGCCACTGACAGTCTGCAGGTCACCCTGCCTGCCCAAAGCATTGTTAACTGAAGTTGGATTGAATCAGGCAAAATACTGCAGTGGGCTTGCAGTTTTCCCCTCACCTGAGCTCCATTGGAAGGTGTTGGTGTGTCTGACAACGTGTCCCCCAACAGAGGAAGCGAGAGTCGGAGAGTGAAGGTGATGAAGCTGTGACCCCCCCGTCCCCTGCCACCCCTCCACCAGAGGAGCTGAGCAAAAAGGAAAAGAAAAAGAAGAAGAAAGAGAAGAAGGCCAAAGAGGCAGCTGAGAGCGGGGGAGAGCAAATAGAAGTGGTATGTAATGGGTGCTGCCCTGGTGTGGTCTAAACGTGGGGGAGGTTGCTGTGTGTCCCAAATACCTCCAAGATAAACACATCAGCATCCTGCTGTGCATGTCCACAAAGTACCAGGCTCCCAGAGCAGAGAAAGATGTTTTACAGAGGTGCATTTGTAGACTGAAATGGCTGTTGGGAGATAGGGCAGGTGAGGCTTGTGGGAGTGGATGTGCAGTGGGGCGGGGATGGGGTGAGCAGCCCTGGGACAGTTGATGGGTTCCTGCCAGGCCACCTCTGTGCTCTGGTGCCCTGTCGTGGGCCCTGGGGGGAGGATGGTGCTGGCATTCAGTCTGTGCTTGAGTGCTTTTATGGTGGTGAGGGAGCATTGTGGCAATGGGGAGCCTGCAGTGCTTCTGGAGTGGGGTTGTTCCTCCTGGAATGAGCAGTGAGGGATTCCTTTTTGATTTCTTCCTGACCTTTCCAACCTCTCCACAGATCACTGAGACCAGCACCAAGAAGAAAAAGAAAAAGAAACAAAAGGAGGTCGAAGAGAGCTCGGAGTAAGCAACTGGATCTGTCCAAAGCAGGCAACCTCATCATTAAGGAAGGAGGAATCTGAGGCCTTGGGAAGAGGAGGACTGGCTGTGTTGGCAGAGGGGCCAGCAAGCTCCAGGTTCTTTTCTGCTGTATATGAGAGAGTGGGTGTGTTTGCCCAGGATGCGCCCTGCTCAGGTGCCCCTCTTCATCCTGTTTTAAGGGTTACCAGAGGAGTGGGGTGCCTGGCTGTCCCTGCACTGGGTTGATCTCTAAAACTGAGCACTGTGATGCCAATAGAAGTGATATCTTCAGGGAAGCTGTAGCTTCTAGCTCTTACTTGGTGTCTGTTTTCACCCAGAGGGTGGAATAATCTTTCTCCCCCTTCTAGTACTGCCTCTTCCTTTTCTTCCAAGGCTGAAGCTGTTACCTGACAGTTACATGAATGTATTGGTGCCTGTAGGACTGGCTTTGTCACAGCCCATCTGAATGGGTTTGGATGGGGACAGTCAGATCAGTTATTGAAAAGGCTCTGCTTTGTTTTTAACTTGGCCACGTGCTTGGCTTGACCTACATGAAATGAAATAGTCCACCCAGATATTCTTCAATACCTTCTTTTTACCTTTTTCACAAAAGGTAAACGTTAAAACGTTTGGCTTGACCTACATGAAATGAAATAGTCCACCCAGATATTCTTCAATACCTTCTTTTTTCTTTTTACCTGTTTCACAAAAGGTAAACGTTAAAACGTTTACTTCCTCCTTTTTGCTGTATTGCCCAGGGATATGCTTGTTGCTTGTCAGCTGATCCCCAAACCCAGTGCCCTTGCCAGGGTGTACCTCTTGCTGGCTCTTTGCTCCTCTCTACCCACTTGTTGGATTGCAACTGCAGGGCTTTGGGCTGCCTTTCCTGGTTTTGATCCCCAGTGTGCTCTGAAGGCTAAAAGTGGGGATGTTGCTGGGGGACAGAGGGTGACCAGGGGGTGACTGGCCTGTGTGCTTTTCTAAAGGGCTGCTGGGACTGGAGTCCTTGTCAGGAAAAGCTTGGTCAGAGGCAGCTCTGCAAGGGGCATTGGGTGTTGGGCTTAAGCAGTTTCAGAAAGACTTTTCCTAATTTCCTTATCTGGGGGTCAAAGGTCTCTCTGTCACAGGGGTAGTGTGCCAGGATTTTAGCTCATTTTAAATGGGGAAGGATCCAGGCTGCTTTGTTCTGAGATTCATCCCCGCAGAGATTCTGTGACTTTTAACCTCATTCATTGCTTTTATCTTAACTGTCTATCCTCCCCTCCATAGCTGGAGATAAATTCAGGCAGTGGGGACAGCAGCTGGTGGCTGTCAGAACCTGAGCAGGAAAAAAAAAATAAAAAAGGTCCATTTTTATGTCCTCTTTTTTATATAAAAAATAAAAGTCCTGTTTTTAACCGTGTGATTTTGTCGCTCATCTGGCTCCTCTTAAGAGGTCAGTGGTCTGTTCATGGGGAGGGGAGGCAGCTTCCCACGTGCAGAGAAATGGTCATGATGGTGTGGACCATCTCTACAGGGGTCTTGTCATTGTTCAGGACTTTGGAGGTGCCATGGGGCCACCCTCCACTTTGGCAAAAGCCACCTGGGGCACGTGCCTGGAAGCTGGGTGTTCTCTCTGGTCCTTTGCCTGTGCTGCTGTGAAGCTGCTGGAGAGGTCTCATGGTGCCTGGAGGGACTGTTTGGTCCTGGCCTGCCTCATCTTGAGTGTGTTTTAGGGTCAGGGAGGTGGGAACAGAGCACCAGCCACGAGCAGGTGCCCAGCCTAAGAGGTAAAACACCAGCCATGGCAATGTTTCAGCGCACATTTATTGCTGCTCATTGTTTCCCTGCAGTGGATCAGAACGAAGGTCCCTATTGCACATAGATTTTATTTTTGGCATTCTTAAAAAAAAAAAAAAATTGCACAAGACTTTTTAACCACCTTCCCCTTGCCCCTATAGCTGAACACACAAATGAGATTTTCACCTACATGATGGCTGTGGTTTGCCCAGGAGGCACAGTGATACTTCCCAGACGTGGTGTGGGGGGGGCTTGTGCATCAGTGCACTCCTGCAGGAGGAACCCCCTGGTGAGGATGGCTTTCATGTTTGCATACAGAGTGCGAGACACCCTAGACTGGAAAACATGCCTGGATGATCTTTGTAGAGACTTTTCTACTGCATGCAACAGATACTTGTGGCTGGATGTAATTTACCCATTGAACAGTCCCTCTGGGGTTTGGTCTGTGGGACTTGCTCAGCTGCTGCTGAGTTTCTCTGGCCAGGCTGTAACAATCCAAGCTGCACGGTGAGAATTTCAATAGAGTGAGTTTTTACACCTATGGTTGCACAGGGTGAATCAGAAAACCCCAGCCTTGGAACACAGGGTGAGGCCTGCCTGGGGTGGGTGCTCCATGCCACATTCATCAAATCCATGCCTGCCTTTTTCTACTCTTCCCTGTTTGTGAGAGGAAACCCTTGGCTGTAGGTTGTCTGTGTGAAGCCTCCTAAGCTGTGGGGCTTCCTTGAAGCCTCATGGACACCAGGCAGGGGTCTGGGTTGTTTGTGTGCACTCCTGCAATGTCAGAAGACATCTGCCTGGAAAGCCCCTGTCCTGCCACTTCCCTTGGGACTGGTGCAGAGAAGATCAGGTGGGTGCTACAGCAGGACTGTGCTTTCCCTTGCCTGGTGAGGCAGGGAGCTGTGCTCTGAGCTAACGGGGTGCCCTGGGCTCTGCTGTAGCCACTGACTTACCCTGCAGTGCCATGGGAGGTGGCTATCCCCCAGGCAGCCCCTGTCCTGCGTTCCTTCCCCCAGGAGAGGAGATGTGGCCACCCTCTGTGTGTGTGTGTGTGTGTCAACCAATTGAGACGATGTCCATGGAGCAGCAGAGGAAGGGAGTTGTGCTGGGCTGTGTGTGGACCGGGGGAAGCAGAGGAGGGTTCTCCCCATGGCTGCAGGATGGTTGATGGGAAGCGGATGGGGCTGGATGCCCTCTCAGTAGACCCAGGAGACAGGCACCCACTGTGGAGAGCTGCAGGCATGCTCAAAGGCTTCCTGCAGCAGCTGGAGGCTTTCTTCCACCCCGTTGTTGACCAGGGAGAGGTCGAAGTAGTGTGCGTACCGGCTCCGGATGCTCTCCGAGTCCTTCCGGAGCTGCTGCAGAGCCTCGGACTGCAAGAAACAGGAGAGGAATTTCACAGCCCATCCCAACTGGGAAACCCCCACCAAAACAACACCAGTAGCTGGGAAGTACCAGAGCAAAGAGCATCGTTGCAGCTCATCTGACAGGCCAGGATCTCTGAGTTTCTCTGGCTGAACTCCCATGCAATGCTGTGAGCATCAGGTCACCTGCTGGAGCGAGGCCAAACCTGCTTGGTCTCCTGTTTACCTTTAAAAAGTTCTGTGGCAGCTGCCAGGGAGAATTCAGGAGCAGCAGGGTGCTCAGGGCTGTGCTGGGCAGTGTAGCCAGCTCAAGGCCTCAGGCTGTGTTGGAAGCAGAATCCCTGCAGGATGCTCCCTTCCCACTGGCTTTTCAACAGAACAGCACCAGCTGGCAGAGCTTTACCAGCCTCTCTCTACTGGTTTTGGCTGGTTTTTAGTGCTTTATTTTGATAGTAAAAGCAAAGCTGCCTGCCCCCTCCTGCCTGGATAGTAGGGGCATCCCAGGAGTGTACCCCTGCAGGCAGCTCTGCTCCCAACAATGAATTCCAGGCAATTTCTACATATTTCCCTAATGGATCTTGAAAGGCAGGCAGCTTCTGTGCCTGGGGAGCAGGGGGAGAGCTTGGGGTGCAGTGCTCACTGAGCTCTGCTGTGTGCAGATATTAACAGACCTAAACAGATATTATTAGATTATAATATTAATTATGATATATCTATTATATAATTGTATGCATTAAGATATTAAATAGACCTAGACAGATATTAATAGACCTAAACATAATATTAGATTATATTACTAGTTACTATATCTAGTACATAATTATTATTAATAGATTAAAAGGACCTCAACAGATACTAATAGACCTAAATCAGACCAAGTCAATGTCTTTCCCTTTTCTGTTAGGCCACTTTGGTATGAATCACAGCACTGACACCTTTAGTGGTCAGCACTAAAACCATATTACAGATGTAAGATTTGCAATACCACACCTTCCCTGAAGGCACAGCAGGTTTCTGTCTTGAAGGTGTTCAGTTCAACACTGACAAACTTTAAATGTAATTAACAATTACCCCGGGGGGGGGAAAAAAAGGAGATAACTTCTTAGCTACTTTCATCTTGAAAGAGTTACTGAAAATATTTATCTATCCTTAGAAAATTAATTTTTTCTATGTTATGGATGAAGCTGGCAGCTCTTGGGGGTGGAGGGGGGAGAGCAATGAGCAGTTTGCCTGGTCATGTGAGCTTTCCTGGGTCACATAACACTGCTGCATCCCTCTGGTAAGAGTGAGCCGAGCTGCAGGGTTATAAATAGTGCCTGGCAGCAGGGCTGGCCCTGCCTACTGCAGCAGGATGTAATTCCTCTGGCTGGAGGCAGCAGTGGGTGACAGCACGAGGTGAGGGCAGCAGGCCCTCTCTGCTCTGAGACTTGCCCACCTTTCCCCCTTCCTGCTGCATCTGGCTGTGCAACCCTCTGCAAGTTGATGTGCCTCCAAATACCTGCACAATCCTCGTTCTGAAGGATGCATAAACACCCTCCCTGCAACCTGTACCTTAAGCTTTAGGAACCCAAATTTAATAGGAAGGGATAGGTGGCCTTGGCTGCCTGCGAGTCCAGGAGGAGCACAGCTCTGGGTTTCCATTGTCCCATCACTTCCCACCTCCCTGCCAGGCTGGGCAGGGTAGGCAGCACTGCTCCCTGCATCTAAGGGACTTCCTGGGAAGTGGCAGCCTGTGACTTCCAGCCTCGTGCTTGGCACTGAGTGAGTTAACTGCGGTATCACTGTTGCTTTCATCCTAACGTTAAAGAGATCAGCATCTTAATGAGGCAAAGAATGAAAGCAGCCTTTGTTTGTGTGTCCATTTGCATAGCTGATGGGAGGATAAATCATCCCGCCCCTCGTGCTGGGCTGTGCTCCCCACTAAGTGTTAGAGGCTGATTATGCTGTAGGGGTGATGGTTGCTGGGGAGTGTCAGTCAGAGACAGGGAGTCTACAGCTGCAGGAATTCCTGTTTCTCAGGTCTGAGTTCTCCTGGACCACCAAAATCTAAGCAGACAGAAAGGATCTGATGTGGAGCAGGGAGAGCCCTGGGTTGCTGCAGCTGGCTAGTCCCCCTTGCCACAGGCTGGTAAGCTCAGCTGGAGGGGGACAGGAGGGGGACAGCCTTGGCACCCTCTGCCACTCACCTCCTCTGCCTTGTCTGTTGGGGCAATGAAGACAATGAACGGGGAGAGCTCGGCTGTGCGCACGATCTTGAGGGTCTGTGGAGAGAGGGGTGTAGTTACCAGGGCGTGCCCTTCCCCAGGGTGGGAGCAAGCACAGCCAAGGCTGCTGTCCCCCACTCCCCATGCTGCCCACACCAGCCTGGCTGGGGCCCTGCTGTCACAGCCAGGTGTGTGTCACAGCCAGTGAATGCCCTCTCTGGGAATGGAAATGCCACCCCAGGACTCGCTGGCTTTTTCCTTTGGGAAGGGCAGGTGGACAGTGCACCAGGGAAGGCAGGGACAGTCACAGCCAGCACAAAGGGAGTTCAATTTGTGGCAGCCCCTGTCCTGCCCACCCCTTCCCCTGCTCCCTACCTGGGGCTCAATGTCCAAAATAGCAACTTTGTCCTGCTGGTGGATCTTGTGCACTGTTTCAAACTTGGTGCCAAACATGTTTCCCTGGTAGCTTCCAAACTCCAAGAACTCATTGGCTGAGATGTCCCGGGTCATCTCCTCAGTGGAGACAAAGTAGTAGTCCTTCCCATCCACCTCATTCTTCTTCTGGGGGCGCGTGGTGTCTGGGGAGGGAGGGAGGGAGAGGTGAGTGCTGGCCACCAGAAGGACTAGGGAGTGGAGCAGGCATGGAGGCCCTGCATACCTCAAGACTAGGCTGTACTAATCCCTTTTCACTACTTGGGACAAAAATGGAACTCAGCCAGCCCAAGGACAGACACTGAGATGAGAAGACTGACTGAGGTGTCTCAGCAGAGTGGGTGGCAGCAGCCCTGCAGTGCCCCATGTGGGAGCCCCTGATTTCAGGGGCTTGGTGGTGCTGGAGAAACATCTCCCACCTCCCATCTGCTGTCAGAAGGTCCTGGATCAAAGAGGTGAGAGGAAATGCATCCTGTGCTGTGCCCTGGGTACTTACACGGGGGTGGATACATGAACTTGTCCGGGTTGTTGCTGAGCAGAGCGTTCTTGATGTGGCTACGGCCCACGCCACTGGCCCCTGGATGGACAGAGAGATGGACACGAGCTGGGCTCA